GCTCCTCTCCTCTGTGTGCTTTATCTTCCTTCCCAGGACCTGGCGCCCTGTCTGGCACAGAGCGGGTCCTCAGCGACCTTGTTGCCAACAAGGCCTTCACTAGTGGGCACTCAGAGACCCCATCTCAGCCCTGCAGGTGTGGAATGAGCTTCACAAACAGAGACATTTCTTAACTCCACTGCCACTCTCCCAGAAGGAGTTGAACCCAGGGTCTTTCTTTGTCCACAGGGTGCTTCACCCCTGGCCCTTTGTACTTTTTTTTTTTAATTTTTAATTTTGAGACGGGGTCTCTATCACTCTATCAGGCTGGGCTCCAACTGGCCTCCCTCCTGCCTCAGCCTCCCAGAGTGCTGGGATGACGGGTGGGCCCACCACGCCTGATTACAGATGAGCTTTGCAGACTGCACTGGACAGGAAGGCCCAAAAGAGAGCAGGAAGCGAATGGAGGCCCTGGGGAAGAGCGAAGGAGCCGGAGGATGCCTGCGCTTTCCAGGGAAGAGTCCACAGGCCTGAGCAGCGGGGGAGGCCTATCACAGGGGCAGTGTGACAACCTGCGGTTAGCAGGCAGCTGACTCTGAGGTTAATTTCTCTTTTTTTAAGTCTGAGAGGAAGGAAGTGACATTGCATAACAGGTTTCTCCAACTTGGCAGGTTTTCAAAAGCAGATCCACATCAGCTTTGCAAATAAATAATAAAGTCGAGGAGGACAGGAAGCAGGGGGAGAAACCATCCGGCTTTCCCCAAACACTGCCTTTGAGGAAAACTGTAATGAAATCTTTTAAATTCAGAATATAAAAATAAATGCCAGAAATAGGCATGGTGGCGCACACCTGTCATCCCAGCACTCTGGAAAGCTGAGGAAGGAGGCGGGTTCAAGCCCAGCTGGGAAAATTGTTTTTATTTCTCGATTGACACAGGGTCTTGCCCTGCAGTTGTGTCAGCCTCCCCAGCACTGGGATTACAGGCGTGCGCCGCCACTCCCGGTCTCAGTCACCAGCTCAGCATGTCCGGGGGAGGGGCCAGCATGGCGTGGGGGGCCAGGCATTGGACCCCGGTCCCTGCGCTTGCCTAAGCAGGCATTTAGTCCACTGAGCTATCTCACCAGCACTTTCTGTTTTCTTTTTGAGATGAGGTCTTGCTGTGTTACCCAGGCTGTCGTCCAACTCACAGTGATCCTCCTGCCTCAGCCTCCTGAGTGCTGGGATGACAGCTATGCACCACCACATCCAGTGCCGGTGGGGACCATTTAGCAGAGATCTTGTCTTAAGGCTGGGGAGGGCGTGGGTTCCCCTGAGCAGCTCCATTTAAAGGCCTTGGGTTTAATCTTTAGTATTGTGTTGGAGGAGCCCATTTTTTCTCTTCATTAATTCATTTGGGCTAGACCAGATGATTGGCAACAGTGACCCAGACACCATTGCCTTTATTGTACTTAAACTTGTCATCGGGCTCCACCACCCAGTGGGACTGAACAACCGGTTTTCCAAGTTCTTCCTGATAGGGTTCAAGTATTACAAACTCCACCTGGGACCCCTTTCCTTCCCCACCCGTATTCAGGGCTGAGCCCAGAGCCTTAGGTCCCAGCTTGCCTTTTATGCTTCCATTTTTATCTTGGGACAAGTTGTTGCCAGGTTACTCAGGCTGGGATTGAACTGGTGACCTTCCCCAGATCCTGTGGTTACAGCCCTGTGCCGCCACCTGTGGTTTAGATGGGCGCTGAACATGCTTTTGTAGTGCAGGCTATCCTTGCCCTCCTAGCAATCCTCCTGCCTCAGCCTCCCAAGTTCTGGGATCACAGGGGTATGCCACCATGTGGTTGTACCACCATTCTGTTTTGTTTTGCAGGACCGGGGATTGAACTCAGGTCCTTGTGCTTGCCAGGCAAGTGCTCTTTCAACCAAGGTATCTCCCCAGCACCATGTGCCACCACTCTGGACTCTACTTCTCTTTAACAGAAAGACTGGGGCCAGGGAGATAGCTCAGTAGAATAAGCACTTGCCTGGCAAGCGCAAGGACCTGAGTTCAATCCCCAGTTCCGCAAAAAAAAAAAAAAAAAAAAAACAGAAGGACTAAAAAAGGGGTGCATTATTAATATTTAAGAAAGAGGGACTGGGGAGGGGATATTGCTCAGCGGTGTAAGCAAGCACAAGATCCCTAGTTTGATCTCCAGTAGCAGGTAGACATCATTTTGCTTTGAAAATCTTTCAACAATTTTGAGGAATTGAAAAACCCTATGTGGTCATACGGACGCAGAAGAATCTGCTAAAGAACAGAGAAAAAATTGCTTTCATAACATAGGATTCATGAGAATTTTCCTCTATTTTAATTTTTATTTTTGTTTGCCTTTTTGAGACAGAATCTCATTATTCAGTTCAGGACTTGAATTCACTTTGAAGGCCATGCTGGCCTTGAACTTGCGTTGATCCTGCTGCCTCAGCTTCCCAAATGCTGGTATTGCAGGGTACTCAGCCTCTCCAGGGTGTTCCTATTAACTGGACAAAAATGAAACATGAGCAGTTGCTTCAGGGAATCGCTGTCACTTTTCAAAAGGCGTTTTCTGTATTTAAGCCAATGAGACCTTTGTAAAGTTCTACTTTGCCTGGAAGATAAATGGTTTTTTTTAAAAAAAATTATTTATTTATGTGTGTGGGGGGGCAGCTCAGTCCACCAGGGGGCGCAGCTGGCTGGCATGTGGTGCTGGGGATTGAACCGCGGTCCCTGTGCTTTGCTAAGCTTGTTCTAAGTAGGTGCTTTAGACCACTGAGCCATCTCACCAGCCCCTGGAAGATAAATGTTAGGGAAAGCGTTTTCAAACACTTTAAAATTTATTTATTTATTTATTTTTGCTGTACTTTATTGGGGATGAACCCAGGGCCTTTGCGTTGAGTTACAAACCCAGCACTCCTTTTATGTATTTTTTATTTTCAGATAGGCCTTTGCTAAATTATAAACAGGCTAGGCTGGGCTTGAATCTTCAATCTTCCTGTCTCGGCTCCTAGCGTGCAGGGATCACAGGTGTGAGCCCCCACCGCCAGCTACAAGGGTTCCACTGACTCTTGAACCCCAGACGCTCGGCACCTGCTGCCCCTCCCCGGGAGGTGGGGGCGGGGTGGGGTGGGGTGCGGTGGGGTGTCTCAGACCAGGACCCGGTGACGTCATCACGCAGGGCTCTTATCCCCGCCTCCCGCACTGCGGCAGTCGGGAAAGACCGCGCCTCATTGGTCTGCGGCGATTAGGTCTCGGGGCGGGGCCTTGGCAGGGGGCGTGGCCTTCTGACGTACGTGCGTCTGGGGGCTGAGGGCAGGCGCTGGGAGGCTGAGGGCTGTAGCTGAGCGGCTGCTGCCCGCGGCGGGAGGTGAGCCCCCGGGGGTCGCGTGTGGGGACAGGCCTTGGAGGGACTCCGGAGCCGCTCGAAATGTCCCCACCGACGGTCGCCGGCCTGAGCAGGGAGCTTGGGTCTCAGAGAACACAGGGTCCCCCGCACTGCGCTCCCCTCCGCTGGGCAGAGGACTCCGAGGCTACGCCCGCGACCCCGGACCTCCGGCCCGAGGGCCTGGCGGCGGCGGGGCAGCAGGAGGACCCCCAGCCCTCACAGGGGGCCCCCAGGCGCGGGCCCGCTCCCCCGTCCCGCAGCCGGCCGACGCGGGCCTTCTCGCCGCGTAGATGCCCCGGGGCGAAGCGGGCGCGGGGCGCCTGGCTCGGACCCGCGGGCGGCGCTCGGCCGGGCCCTTGGCACGGTCGCCGTTTCCTTGTCTTATTTCGCGACGCCCACAAGCCACCCTGACCTAACCCGTGTTCTGCTGGGCCGAGAGGAGAGGGCTCGAGGCGCCCTGTGCCGGGTGGCCCGGAGCGCGCGGTTGGCCTCTGAAGCCGCCCTCGCCGGCCGGCCGGGTGGGAGCGCCGGAGGGCTGCCGTGAGCGGCGCAGCCTCTCTGGAGAACCCCGGGCTGTTGTCTGCCTCGAGCATCCAGCGCGCCGAGGCTTCTGCGTTCAGGTCTCCCAGCCTGCCCCCGGGGTGAATCTGCCCTGGGCGACAGCTCTCCTAGTAATAGGGGATGCGGGCGGCTTAGGGACGCCAGAAATCGGCCCTGCTTTGGCTGCGGTTCCGTACCGTCCAGGTTAGATCTCCGGCCTTACCTTCGGCGGCTGAGAATAAGTAATTGCCGTTTCAGGACCACTGATAGCGCCAGTGTTTTTCCTGCTCAGTAACTGCGGTTTACCTAAAATGAAACCTCTGTCGGCCCCTGCGTGTGAGGACCTGGCCCAGGGAAGCAGGTCATTATCTTGAAGATGAGCGGCAGAAAGACACTGCAGAGGTGGAAAGGGCTGTCTCTGTGGCTGCTAAAACTGCTTCGTCATTACCAGTGTGCTCCTGTCATGCTTGATTTGACGTCTCTTCAGGCTGGCTCCTTGTCGTTAAGCGTTGTTTGTTTGGCCTCTTTAGGGGAGAAATGTTGTTTTCTGAGGAGCCTGGCAGATTACACCCTCGAATGCAGCCGTAGCTTTAGGGCAGGGCTGCTGGAAATAGGCAGGAGGGAAAAACGAGTCAGGAGTCACGATGCTGCCACTTTATATAAGAGGGTAATCAGGGTCTCTTGTTTTTCCTGCTCAAGCAAACGAAATAACAACTGAACTCCGAATGTCGCTGCCTCATAATATTGTGTCCAGGGCATTTAAAGAGATGTTTGGGGTTCCCAGTTCCTGTCTTTCTTTAATCTGGGTACATTCTTAGGAAGTAAGTTCCAAAATACTGTCTATTCTGTGCTGACGTTGACTGAAAAGGAAGTGACTTCGCATCTGACCCTCTGCAATCCGGGACTCAGTGAATGCTTCTGCAGTTTCTCCTTTCCATCTTGCTAAGCAACTGGTACAGTTCCGTTGGCATGGAGTGGGAGAAGCAAGATGAAATAAAATGCAACGTGAACGAGCCTCGCTCTGATGTCTTTGCTCCCACTCTCGCCCGGCTGCCAGCATCAAGTCATTCTCTCTCTTGCTTCAGATTGCAGTGAAATCCCGACATTCAGCAGACCACCCTCTGCCACCATGGGCGAGCTCTTCCGGAGCGAGGAGATGACGCTGGCCCAGCTGTTTCTGCAGTCAGAGGCTGCTTACTGCTGCGTCAGCGAGCTGGGAGAGCTTGGAAAGGTCCAGTTTCGTGATGTAAGTAGAGCCGCTCCTTATTGCAGCGTCCTCAGCATTCCTTTCCTTATCAGTGGCCTTACCACGAGTGTTCAGTTTTCATGTGCCACAGGCCCACGGACTGTGGGAAGAGCCTGAGAGATCTGTCTCCAGCTGCCCTTCTAGAGGTGGCAGTGTTTTGCACCAGGCCTCCTGTGCTTTGCTCCCTCCTTCTTTGAATACCATTGGAAACCCCCTCAGGGTAATTGCTTGGGATACCAGAGGAGGGACCCACACTGCGTGGAGGCCTTCACCTGGCTTTCAGGCGCCTTCGCACAGATGGCACGACGTTGTCGATGTGTGTTGTAGTTCTTGCACACAGTGGGCTTTGTTTTGTATAAAATCTGAGGCATCCAACTACAGATATTAGTATATACGTAAGCATATACTGATCATCTATTCCCTTGGCTACTCAGAAAAGATACCAGCAGAAAGAGACAAGGCTGGGATGCAGCTCAGAGCTGGAGTGCTTGCCTGCAAAAGAACAGACTAAGGAAATCTGCTCCGGGGCTCCTGCTGTAATCAGAGGCTCAGCACAGTGCTGAGGGCAGGGGCGGAGACAGCACAGCTCTGACCACCCTCCTGGTAGGCTAGCTCGGAACTCCATGCTCTCTCATTTGGAGCATTCCTCGTGGATGTGATTTTACATTTATCAGCTGATAAAGCTCTTTCGTGCTGTGACCTAAGTACCATGAGGATGGGGTGTTCTGGGGTCCTCTCACTGTGTAGTCAGTGGCCACAGACAAGGTCCTCGGTCAGTATTTGTTGACGTGAACAGAAAGGACTGGGATTAACTGGAGTGGGCTCACTGGAGTGGGCAGGCGTTCAGCAGATGGGTCTGAGCTAATCCCGTCACGTGAATTCCCGATTCTCTTTGTGTGGTTCAGCTCTGGCCGCCTCCTGGGTTTTCCTCAGAGTCCTGTCCCAGGCTTTCTGATGGATTCATTGTCCTCTGCTGGCTGTCAGCTTCCCGAAACCTCTGCTGTGCTCCCTGGGGATCTTCTCCATCCATATCTCCCTTCGCTTCCTGTTTTGGTGATCTGTCCTCTCTCAGAGCTCTGCGCTTTATTCAGCGAGTCCTGTAATCTGTAGCTCTGGCCCTGCCTTTCCAGGACCCTCCATTTCTTTTGGTCCTGGCTTCGCAGCTCTCTGTGCTCACCTCCCTGCTCAGCCCAAGAGTCCAAGTCCTGACGCTGAGCTTCTTCACCAATGCTTGTCTCTGGCTTCCTGAGTGTGAGTTAATGCACCCATGTTCTCCCAGTTTCCTTGGCTTGAACTTAAGGCAGACCCTTAATTTGCAGTTCTTTATTTAGTCATATGGAGTCTGCCTCTCTGTCTATCTCTGTTTTTGGAGATACCAGGGATTGAATCCCAGGAATACCGTGCTACATCCCCAGCACTTTTCATGTTTTATTTTGAGACAGGGTCTTGCTAAATTTCCCAGGCTGTCCTCAAACTTGAGATCCTCTTGCTTCAGCTTTCCCATTAGCTGGGATTACAGGCCTTCAACAGTACATCTGACTCTGTCTCCCTTTTTAACATCTCATTTCTAGTCAGGCTTTTTTCCCTTGGCTTATGCAGTGTTTCAATCATACGAAAAATGTGCAAGGAATAGTAAGATACACACTTTGGGTTCTTCTGTCTACTTAAGAGATACATCTTCCAGATACAGTTGAGACCAGCTAGGTGTCGGGGTGCAGTCCTGAGATCCCACCCAGCACTTGGTGGGCTGAGGTGGTTTAGGGAAGGGTTTGGGGATGTCGCTCAGTGTAAAGACCCTGGTGGCTTCAATCCCCAGTGCCGCATCTGGACAGTCTTCTCCCCTCCTCCCTAGAACTAAGCTTGAGTCGCTTTGCTGTCTGTCGTCATTCCCGTGTGTTTATTTTCTGCCTCTGGTCTCAGTGGTAAGCCACCGTGCAGGGTTATGACATGCACCTGGTATGACACTGTCCTCCTGCAAACCAGGCTCTGCCTGAACAACGGCCCATCCGGCTGGCACCCACTGCTCAGCTCACACTGCCCTGCGCTCTGGCCACGTTGGCACAGGTGCTAACGCACGGCTCGCCAGCTGTGCCTGCGCCCGGGCCTTGGGCGCTACCGTGTCTCCTTGCATGGGGTGGATTCCCAGGGGCCTCTCTGCCTGCGCCTGTTGGCGGTCTCCGAGAACACAGACCATAAGCATTGTGGTCTCAGAATCTCTTTGGGCTCTTAAATATGATGGAGGGCTCCAAAGGGCTTTGCTTTAACTCTGGCTATCTGATTTTATTGTATGAGGGATTAACACTGGGAGATGGTGCAAATACTAAAGCATTGATAGTTTACAGTAGTAAACAAACTGAAAAAGCAGTGGTGAAAGTGGTGTTGTTTTCTTCTTGTTTTTAAGACAGGGTCTTTCTGTATATCCCAGGCCGGTCTTGAGCCCACAGTGGTCCTCTGGCCCCAGCCTCCCGAGTCCTGGGATCACAGGCATGCACCTACATGGGGAAAATCCCTTTCTTGTCTGAGTAGAAGGCAGCTCCGCCCCTGCCCACAGTCTGTTGCAAGCCACATGCTGAGCCTCTGCAATCCACCCCCCTGGGTGTCACTGGGAGGGGCAGTGCCCCGTGTGGTACGTGTGGTTCACAGCAAAGTGCTTCTGGCTGACGTCCCTGGGTGTGGTCCTTGTGGTTGTGGACACTGCCATGCTGGGGGAGGGGGCCTTGACAGTCCCTCCTGTGCCAGGCTGTGGGTGGTGTTCAGTGTGGCTGGCAGGCATGTGGCCACCCTGCCTGTGTCCCCCTGGGCTCTAGAAAGCTCCTCGAGTGTGCTGGGTGCTGGTCTGCTCTGATCCTCTGCTGAGAGCCCCCCAGCCTGTGGCTGTGAGGGTTACTGTGTGGATTGGTATATAGTACAGGGTCTACAGGGTCTCACTACACAGATCAGACTCATGGTGATTGTCCTGTTTTCAGCCTCCCAAGCACTGGGATTGCAGGTGTGCGCCCCACGCCCAGGCTTGGGGGTTGTTTTGTGCCGTGTACTGTTTCCCCCCATTGGTCCTGCGAATCTTGGGACCTCACACTTGCTAGACATGTGCTTATGCCACTGAGCTGTATCCTGGCCCTAACATTTTATTTTCATTTTTATTTTTATTTTTTGGTCTTGCCTTTTAGTATTTTTCCCACTAAATTTTTTATTTTGAAGATTTCAAGCCATTTTTGTTTGTTTTTTTAAGACGGGCTTGCTAGCAGTTCAGGCTGACCAGGAAGTTGCACTGGTCCTCCTGCCTCAGCCTCCCCAGTGCTGGGATTGCAGGCATACACCGCATGCCTGGACTCAGTCACCAGCTCAGCGCGCCTGGGGGCAGGACTGGCGCAGCAGTGGTGCTAGGGACCGAACCCAGGTCCCTGCGCTTGCCTAAGAAGGCGCTTAGTCCACTGAGCTGTCTTGCCGGCCCTACATTTTTTACTATTAGAGGCTAAGCTGTGGCCATCATGACATTTTTGTCCCTAAATATTCACACTTCAAGGTGAACGGGCATTTTTCCTATAGCCACAATCCAATAATCATATTAAAGAATTTTAGCATTAGTTATATAACGTAGTCATATTCTAATTTCCCCAGTTATTCCAAATAATTCCCTGTAAAGCTAGGTTTGAGCCACTGTTCTTTTTTTTCTTAATTAATTGTATTGAGAAACAAATAGCAACGAGACAGTTTCAATACAGTTAGTAGGAGAGTTACAATAATTGATACATTGCATATTGTTGTCTTCATAGTGGTTATTCATAGTACAGCATGCACACGTGATACCCCGGCCCCTGAAGTGAGCCGCTGTTCTTTGTTTTGGTTTTATCCCTGCCAGAGGGCTGCGGACAGAGTGGAATTACCCGTAGAGGACCGCTGAGCGGTCGTGGGGGCCAGGGCGAAGCCAGTCTGTGTCTGAGGCCGCCGGGGTGTAGCGTGGTGCTCACGCATCGCAGACTGATACTTTTGAGGAGTCCAGGTCCTTGTTTGGCGAAGGTCCCTCCATCTGGAGTTGTTCCTTGAGAATTTGTTTTAGGTTAAGCATTTCTGAGGCACACACGGGACACACACATGTGACAGTGTGCCCTGGGTCTGTCCTGTGAAAGGCGCGAGATCGTTTGTTTCATCGTCAGTGCAGTCACGCTGATCCCCTGACAGACGCTGTTCGTAGGTTTCTCTGTGGCGGAGGTGCCCTTTCTCGTTATAATTAATAAATAATGTGGTTAATACTTAGACCTGCAGGCACCTTTCTACCTGATAGCGCTCCTGCTCCTTCACTGGACCTGCCTTGTCTCAGTGGTTACACTGGTTCTTACAAATTTACTTTCTGATTCTATTATTTCTTCTGTGTTTTACTGCTCTGATTTAATGAAGAGCCTTTTCTTTTGTCTCTCTCTAGCCTTTTCTTTTCTCTCTCTCGCTCTCTCCCTTTCCCTCCCTCCCCCTCTCCCTCTCTCTCCCTCCTTTTCTCTCCCTCTCCCTCCCTCTCTCTCCCTTTCCCTCCCTCCTCCTCCCTCCCCCTCTCCCTCCCTCTCCCTCCCTCTCTC